GCATCAGTAAATCCAACAATCCAATCGGGTGCACATTTTTGTGGATAAATCATGGTACGAATCATTTTGTTGTGATTAAAAAAAACAAGAAGCCTCACGTAAGGTCTCTGAGGAGCCTTATAAAAAAATGACGATTCTTAAGGTTCCGAAGGAAATCAAATCTTTATAAGTTTCCTGCGGGTTGACTCCTTGCTGTCCCATTTTTACGTTTTAGTGTACGTAGGGTACAGGTCATACTAACCTGTCTAGTCAGCTACGGTTTAAGCTGCAGTTAGAACGGAGTTATTCTCGCATATGGTGAGGTTGGATATTCTATGTTACTATAGAAGTAAGGCAGCGTAGGCGCTTTATTTAACTTTCTTCTTTCTTTTTTAATATGTTGTGTGACCTTTTCTGATTTTGAAGATTATCTTTTTGTTATAGAAATAACAAAAGATCCCTATCCTTCAACAAAGCCACATATACAATCATGTGATAATTTCATATTTTAGTTCATATTTTAGTTGGGATTACCGAAAAGCTAAATAAAAGCAAATAAATTCACCTTAGAACCGTTAGCAATCTTGTTACTTATGTCTAAACATAAGTGTGCTTTATGTTACCACAAAGTTCAGACTATTTCTTTGACTCTTGACAAGCAAGGCAGGAGCCATCCGACATGTAGTCGTTGCAGCAAGCTTTTGTGCATTAGCATAAATCGATCTTGCCTAAAGATTTTCATGCTGTTGTTCAGCAAGAGATCCCTTTATTTAGTCGGATTGTATCAACATGTATTACTACACATCTAACCCTTACGAGTTACGGCTGCCGTTTACTGGGGCTTCGATTCAAAGCTGTTAAGACTTCTCCTGTTCACCTTCCAGCACCGGGCAGGTGTCAGACCCTATACATCGTGTTACCACTTAGCAGAGTCCTGTGTTTTTAGTAAACAGTCGTCCAGGTTTATTTATACTCATTCGCCTTTCCTCCCCATAGGTATTACCTTTTTTTGCCGAGCAAGAAAGTAGTATATCATGCCGGACTGCGATACCGAGGAGTCGGAGGTGAATAAATACGTGGACTCTATCATAAGCCATTCAATGGTCTTTTTCACCTAGAGTCTCTGAGGAATTACACATACACAATAAGCGCAACCATACTGTCGTAACCATGCCGAGATGTGCTGCCATAATCCTATTTCCCATACAGGAGAGGCCTCACAGAACAGAAAAGGCACAATCATTTCTAGGAATCTTTTTTCTTTTGTTTATATGGCCCACGTTTTTTGCCTAAATGAGCTTGGCGCATCTTCTCTCGTGTTTCGGTAGACAGAGTCTTGCCTAAGCGACTTTCTCGCATTTTTTGGCGAATCAATTCGTAAGCCTCGTCTTGCATTTGTGCTTGTCGCGCTACGCTAATCTTGGCTTTAGTTTCGTCCGACAATTTTCTAGGCCACTTGATCCGATCAATTTGCGCATCCTGAGGAAAACGCGATATACCCTTTTCAGACCATACTAACTTATTTACATTAAAATGCGGTAAAAGACTATCTAAATAATATTGTTCTCGTTGCAGCAAGTGGGCTTCAACCAAAACATGCTCTAATACAGCAAACTCAAACTGCTGCCAACCATGCTCACGAATTGCTTGGTAGAACAAAGGGCAAGTATTCTTATTACGAGCAAAATCTGATCTATGATACAGAATTCTTCGCTTTAAGTTGTTGGTGGATCCAACATAAGTGTGTTCAGGTTGTGGCATTAGTCTAAAAATAGAAATACAGGCTCGTCAGAGCTGGTAATGTCAAATTAAGTATATCACCTTCTTCATTTAATGAATACCAAGTCAAATTGCCAAGTTCTGGTATATGTGTGAGTTGAGGTCATTTTGCTTTGTGTGTGTGTTTTTTCCTGCGGATTGCCCGTTGGGTGTTCCCGCATATAGTGAAATTTAAAGAGGGCGGCGACTACCCTCTGGTATGTGCCACTTTACTCCTTGCATGGCAAAGAGCAAAGCACCCCTTCTCCCGAAGTTACGGGGTCATTTTGCCGAGTTCCTTCAACATGGTTCTCTCAAGCGCCTTAGTATACTCTACTTGTTCACCTGTGTCGGTTTGGGGTACGGTTGACTTCTTTTGGGGAAAAAGAATCCTTAAAAGAAGCACGAAGTTTTTTCTTGGAAGCTCTTACCTTGTAAGTTGATCCAATAACAGCCAAAAGGTTTTCCATGTTTCGCTTGCGAAACAAGCGAATGTCACGGAGCCTAAAGGCATCTTTTCAAAGTAAAAAAAAGCCTCGTCACTTTCGTGTACCCATCGTAATACTGCCTTTCGGAGTCAACTTAGGGACCGCAAAACTCTGCGCAGATTGACTGAACGCAGAAACCCTTGAACATTCGGCGATCATGTTTTTCACATGATGTTTCGTTACTCATGTCAGCATTTTCACTTCTGATATTTCCAACTGTTGTTATCAACAATCTTCTTCAACTTACAGAACGTTCCGCTACCGACTTTTTAAGTCTCGTTGCTTCGGTGAATCACTTGAGCCCCGATACATTTTTGGTGCAATGAAGCTAGACCAGTGAGCTATTACGCTTTCTTCAAAGGATGGCAGCTTCCACAAATCATACAGTAGCTTACGCTACCTATTGATCAGACTATATCATAACTTTGGATCAAAACTACAGTATTTCTGTAAATATTCTTCTTTAGTCAACTTTCTACGCTTACCCGCTTGATTCATATCATAAGCTATCTCCACAATCTCTAAAAAGCCCGACCGGTTGAGATGAGCCTTCCTTTCTATTAAATCTACCACTTTTTTAAACTTTGCATAATGAATAGCCTTTTCGGTATACAAAGTGTGCTGATCCATGAAGGGTACTATGCATTTTTTTATATCCCTGAAAGAATCCACTTGATAGCGGCAATAGCTCTTAGAAGAAGTCCCCCGTTTTCTCGTAATTGAACCACATTGATCAAAACGCCGCTTGACCCTAAAAAAAAGCCGCAATTGACTTTTGGTTAAAGCACCGGTGATATGAAAACCAAGTAAGATTCGCTTATTTGCTAAAAAGCTCACTGAAAAGCAGCCGTCTCCATCAATAAGCCCCACAAGAAAAAGGTCTTGCAGGTTCGACCTACGCTGCGTCGAAGCAGGCGGGGTATCAGAGAGAAGACTTTTATTCAAGCTTCCTCTTCGACCAGCGGGAGGCTGCGAAGCAGGTGCGACTTCAGGAGCAGCAAATGCAGTCATGGGCAATTCTTGAAGGAGCGAATCAAGTTGGCTTTGTGTTCTTTGAGTAGAACGATTCATGGCGAAACAGAGTTTGACTAATTGCGCGAGCTCTTGTTTATCATAATCTTTCTTCTCCGAAATGGCTTTTACCACTTGGCTGAATAGTAAAAAACTATGTTCTTTCTCCCCATATAATCGATATTTCATAAAATGCGGGATAATAGTATTCCGTAATTGTGGTATTGAGTTTACTCTAAATTCTATTGAATGGTTTTGCCTATTCTCGCAAAGCCCGCCGATACCACCAAAAAAGTGTTTTATCGCTTCAAGGGCGGATTTCGAGGCAAGATCTAAAGTTATAGTGAATGTTGGTTTTAGTTTTATCTGGTTCGCAGAAACAACTTTTCTTTTTTCAAAAAGAACAAAAAAAGAGCCGTCAGCTTGCGTAAGTCCGCTAATATAGAATGGATTCATAAATTCATTACGTAGTTTTTGAAAAAGTTTTTGGCGTGTAGTCGTTGAGACCCAGTTGAGTCTGCTGATTGGCCCCTGATATTTTCTATTTAGGCGTTCTCAGCATATAGCCAAATTGGTTTATCTTAGATCTTTTTCTATCTAACTCGATAGGCAAAGACTAAGACAGGAGGGCCTGGAAGAGTCAAGCCCACCTCCTGGTTGTAATCGCTCGATCACTTCCTTTTCCACTAAGTGATTGCTTAAGGACCTTAGCATACGATCTGGGCTGTTTCCCTCTCGACCTTGGATCTTATCACCCAAAGTCTGTCTGTATAAACTTCAAATGAAACCGCATTCGGAGTTTCCTTGGAGTCGGTAAAGCTTTGGGCCACCCTAATCCATTGAGTGCTCTACCTCGGATCATTGACTTTCTTTATACGCTCTGCCTAAACAGATGTCGCGGAAAACCAGCTATTCGAACTTGATTGGCCTTTCACCCCTAGGCACAGATCATCCCCGTATTTTGCCACATACGTGGGTTCGGTCCTCCAAGGCTCGTTAGAACTCTCTTCAACCTGTCCATGCCTAGATCGTTCGATTTCGGGTCAAATGAAGACAACTAAAAAAACAACTTCGCTACGCCTACACTTAACAGCTTAAGCTTGCTGTGTCCATTTACTCGCTGACCCATTATGCAAAAGGTACGCCGTCCCCTTCAGGGGCGACTGATTGTTTGCATCGAAATTCAGGATCTCTTTTTCACTCCCTTTCTTAGGGTTCTTTTCACCTTTCCCTCACGGTACTTGTTCACTATCGGTCTTTAAGAAGTACTTAGGCTTAGAGGGCGGTCCCCCTGCTGTATTTAATACAACGTTCTAACACAAAGGATGTGTTTTACTTAGCAAGCGCAAACTCGTTATCGTAAACGATGAAATACGGGGCTTTCACCCTCTTTGGCACAGTATTCCAAACTGTTTCTAAAGAATACAAAAAAGGTTAGTGCGCTATTAGCCAAATCCGCGTTCGCTCGCCACTACTAACGGAGTCTCGGTTGATGTCCTTTCCTAGTGCTACTGAGATGTTTCAATTCACACTGTAGTTTTCATTCATAGGTTTTCCGAGGGGAGACCCATAGTGCACAGAGGTTTTCTTCCTATGGTGTTTCGCCTAAGTTAGCGTCCCTTTACTTAAAGCCAAGGCATTCTTTCAATGCATTTTATTAGCACCGCATAAAAGCACATCTCCCAAAACAGGAATCTTTGTGTGTGTGATTGTCCTTAGGGAAACCGTCTTCTATGGGTCTTGCTGGCAACTCCTCACCCAAATCGATTGAATCCGAAGATACATAGAAAAATGGATGCAATTAGTTACCTAATTGTTCTTTTGCATATAGAATTGATTCTTTTATGCGAGGATGTAGGTTTATCCAAAAATTCACTATTGATCTATTTTTTTTTTCTT